GACCTTTTAAGTCTCATCTGAGGTTTGATGGGAACGTCCTGTCCATTCATAGTTGACAGCACTGGACATGAATTGGACAGTCGTGTCGATGAAGATGTGGTTTCAATTATCGTCGGCTCATTTGTCTGATGAGTACTGTTTGATGTAAAACTATTTACAATGAGATTTATAGGTATTTGTGAAATAAAAAGTTGTTACCAAACAGACTGTCCAGAAGTGGTTGGGATCACCGGATGATGGGATTGCGACTCATCTGTTGACACTTCTATCTCTTCGTAAATCCATTCAACAAATTCATTCGTCAATACGTTTGCATTGTTTGCCATTTTGTATATAATTATATTTATAATAAATTAACAAACCAACATGACATATTCATTTGTGAATAAAACAAATGATTAATTTTGAGCTAATTTAAGGTCAAAGATATTATTTTAAGAGAAGTCTCCATATATTTTCTTAATTTATTATTACTAATTATATTAGTAATACATTTGAGTATATGATTTACTCATTCATTCATCTCTATTAAGTGTTAAATAGTTTCACATTATTTGAAATTGAATTATATTGTACTGTTAAATAATTTCTATGAATGAATGAAATAATAGTATAAAATCATTATAACTTTCGAAATACTTTTATTTGAAATCCTTTTTGATGATTGTCTTGAAAGCAATGAATGTATCACTTTGTGAGGGTTGGGAGGACTAGGGCTTTTCAAAATTTGGATACTTGAATGTACCATCTCTTGGACGTAGTAGGATAATACGTAGTAGTAGACGGATAATAAGAGTAATAATTTTGTGTTTCGATATATTCTTCAATAAAACCTTTCAATGGAAACAACTCTTGTGATTGAAATGGAGTATCGATTGACAGCCTATGGCTGAGGGTTGAGTCTGAAGAACGGATACTTGAATGTTCCCACCTTTCCCAGACCCCTCCCCGCCGTCGCTTCTCGTAGAGCCAGCCATCGATTCCCATACGGATGGCGACCCCATCCGCACGACTTTCCAATGTATCGGACGGCTGTTTTTCCATCTCATACTCCATAATCTCCATCTCCTGATCATTGCTTACAAAGAGTTCCCAATTGTTTGCATTTTGTCGCTTATAATCCTTACCCCTTGTCCGCCACACCTCTCCCACACGGTTTGGGGTTCGGAACCATTTCTTGGACCCATTGACATACAGGGGCGATATGGGCGCCACAAATGGACTCATTTTCGCGTTGGGTTCCCATACGACTTGCCTCAAGTCATTGCAAACTAATCGGAAGAATTGTCGGGGAATTTCATTCAATGCCTGATTACCTCTGAATGCAGTGACACCTTGTATTGTATTGTTTCCATTGTTTGCGGCGATCTTTTTTGCAATTGGGTCGAGACTAGTGGTGTATCTGCGGTCCTGAGTGATGCCTAATATCCTCTTAAGTATCAGTTCCCCGGGAACTTCAAACGGGGCCACACTCTCGAAATTCTGGCTCATCGTAGGTTCGCACAGAGCGTTGTACTCATGTAGGCGCTCATACAGGTGTCGGGCGCGGATCTCTTTCACCCCGTCATCCCACTCCTCAATGGCCGCAATGACCCCGCTCTCAGGTATCAGTAATTTGTACAATGTTTTTTGAGTACATTTTTGAAATCATACCTAAAAATAAGTTGTTCGTACAGTTGTACAAGTATAAAAAAAACATTTTTATTGTATTTTCCATATGAAACAGAGTCAATAAAAGTCCAAAAATCAAAACAATACTTTAATTTCAATTATACTTTTCTAAATATAAATTATATTTACATTAAATGTATTATAAATGAGATATTAATGGACGCCTTAAACTGATATGAGTTTCAGTCTGAGGGCACCGAAAGACACGTCAATCATGTCTTCATCGCTGTAAGTGATTGGATGGCAACACGTGTTGCAAAAGACTAATGTATTCCAATAGACGCCCCGTTTATATGCCTCCAAATCCCGCTTCAGATCAATGGCTATCTCCCGAAATGTGTCGTTCCTATCGATGGATTCAATCATTTTATTAATTACTATATTTTGGGACACTTTCGACAGTTTCGAGCGATGAATGTCCGGCTGTCGCGTGTGATCTCTCGCCGACTTAATCACATCACAGATGTGTTGATCCTATGTTTGGACACAAGAATTGTATTCATGATTACGAATCAATTACACAATAAATTCATTGTAAATAACAAATGAGACAAACGTTTGAAAATTGATTGCATTTCAGGACTTCATTCTCGGCTCTCAAAGCATTCAATTCAACGCTTTGTTCGCTGAATGTCTGCAACTCTCGGGTCCTTTCACTCAACTCTTGAGCCAAACTCTGGTTACTCTTCTCCACGACTTCTTTGCTTTTGAGACAATTGTCGCACAAATCTCGCAATTCTTTCAACTCTTGTCTCAGTTTCTGGTTTTCTGTCGAAAAGCTCTGATTTTGTTCACACATATCACTGCCCTTTGTCTTCAGCTCCAGAACCTCTTGCCTTAACGCCTGGATCTGTTGATCCAAACTCGTGTTCACAGTCAACAGTGTCTCGTATTCCTCCGACTTTTGTCTCATCTCTTCGCCGAATCTATTCTCCCATTCAATGCATTTGTTTTTATACTTTCGCGAAATGGATGACAACTTCTGGTTTGACGCCTTCAGCGCCTCCGCTTCGGCCCGAAGACTGTCCACCTGTTGTCTCAACTGTGGACCGCAGTTATGATCACTAGTATTCACTTCTTGACAATAGGGGCACCGATTCAGGGGATTGTGTGGACACACCTTCAGGTGTTGGTCCAGGAGTGACAGTTTGCATACGTGTTGACACCCATTGTCCTTAAACTCGCAACAGATGTCCAGTCTTTCGATGAGATTAACACTAAAACGCGGCGCCGGGAACCACTTCTTAGCCGTCAGTGCTTTGCGACAATTGGGACACGTTTTGCTGTTTCTGATCCATTCAGTGATACATTGGTTGCAATACGACTGTTGACAGCATTGGGTGACCACCGGTTTGTTGAGGACTCCCAAACAGATCCCGCATTTGATCTCTTCGTAGTCCTCATCGCTCAACGACACGAACCGCTGTCTATCCAATCCAGACATCTGTGGTCTTCGTGTCTGCGGCGCTTTAGACGAAGATAATAGTCGTCGCAATCGGTGGTGCAGTCAGTGATCAGTCCATTGATTGTGCGATTAATGTGTAAATCATATGTTAATTGTTGTTATTGTTTGACATTTCATTTGATTATGCAATCCATACATCAATAATGTGTGCAAACATTGCATCTAATTATGCCATACATTGTATCATCTCTTAAGCGATTAAAACTATTAAATATTATATTTACCTGATATTTAACACGATTAAGTATCCCGTATGTCAACTATATTAAATCAAATGAACCCTGCTTCAATTTCAATAAGTTTTTGCGTCAATACAAGAGTGACATTATTTACGTACAATGTGTTGAGAAATAGCAGCAAACAGTCAGCTGTGAAGTGAGTCTCGCATTGAGTGTTGAAGTGAACACATGTTTGACAATCAAATCAAACACTGAATTAAGCGTCGAGTGAATGAAAGGCTATAACAATGAATGCATTCAACTGTGAGTTCAGATACCAGAGCCGCGTGTATGGCATTCACGTGACTGAGAGTTTATTTCACTTCATTAATGCTTATATCATACCGTATTATGATTTACAGTTACTATACTTTCAAATCGCTTCTTATTATTAGATTTATTTTTGTCAATTAGTTTATTTAATTTCTGATTGTCTTCATTTGTGATATATACCGTATAATTTAACTGAATGTAAGGTACAAATTTTCTTAATAAGAATTTCCTTTTTTAAAATTTATATTCAATAATTTTATACAAACAAATCCATTATTTATAAACTCATTATCAATCAAATTCTTTGAAACAATTAAAAAATGTACCTAGGTTATAATCTATTCTTGAATGTTTTTTGAGTTATAAGTGCTATAACTACAGTAACTATATTTTACACACAATTCTGTGACACATTTAATTAATTGACGAGTGGAGCCGATATGATGAGGTAGAGGGCTAAGGATCAAAGTGGTCAGCGATGACCGGCTTCTTAATAAACTCATTTATAACTAATTCAGCCAAATATAGCAAAATATAAACTAATTATAGCAAATATGGACACATTTAAACCAATGCCCAACACTATGACACCCGCTTCACGTCCAACCATTCATTGGGTTTGAGGGAAGGGATAGTCTTTCTCTGGACTTCCATATCTGGTGCAAAGCCTTTAGGTTTTAGTACTTTTCTCATTTTATCACTTCTATCACCAGTACATTAGTGGTACTATTTTATAGAAATAAGTATCATCTTTATACCGTACAATGTACTACATGTATAGTTTATTGAATATAGCTTCAAATAGGAAAATTACATAATGTTGTTAAATGTGCTTTTAAAGTGAATTTTATATGAAATATTAGGAAGTGATATAATCTATAATAGACCTTATGTTAAGTTAGGAGAATATTTGCATAAAAATAATACCGTAATCACAAAATTCATACTTTTGTCAAAAATCTTATTTAAATCATTTTGTCATAAACTTGTTAGTAGAGAAACATTGTTTAACTATTTTGACAAATAAAATTTAATTTCAAAGAATATTATAAAAACATAAAATATTTCCCAATAATTTTAGTTCATAACAAAAACATATCCTGGAAACTTAATACAGGAAATAATATACATATAAAATAGGTGTTAATCTAATAACTTAATATTTATTTGATCACTAAATCAATAATTAAAATAAATAAAACAAATAAAATTTTCAATTAATACATATACTGTAAGTGTTTAAGTCATATATTTTCTGCCTTAAAAATATTTCAGAATATAATATAAGTTTAATTTATTATTCAATAAGAAATTATTAAAATAAAAATTATAAATTGCGTGCAAAATGAACAAATATTTGTCGAGTAGTTTATTTGTGCTCATAATAATTGGCTCATTTGTTGGCTCAGGTATTTATTATAAGCAAGAAATTTCTTTAATTATCGATTATTTTAAAAATAATTATGAATACAAAATGTTTGATTACAGAATCGCAAGCATATGAGGGACGGGTGAGTCCGAGCGCTGCTCTATATTGCGGTGAATCGGCGTTTAGTTGCCGTCAAAAGGGTGAAAATCCGGCCAAATGTAGCCAACAGTACAAGGATTGTGTGGCACAACACAACAGAATCCACAATCAGAGACCCAGAAGACCTGTTTAGTTGCCACATCCCTGGCCTCTTCACAATTACACAATAATCTACTTTCAAATAAATTATTGTGAACCAAAAATTGATTTTTTCGATATGCCCTGCAGTACAGAAAACTTATATTTGAATGAAAAAACTTAAAAAAGTAGTCATAGATTAATAATTGTTTTTTAGATTCTTTATTTAATTGACTTTAAAATTAATTATTACAGTAATAGCATTTATACTTATTTTGTGATAAAGATTATAAAAAACATTAGAATAACATTTATTAGAAATGAGTTTTAAATGAAATATTTCGTGCAATAAAACATATCGGTATGTCCTGATGAATCTAATAAATAGTCACTTATACCGTAATTATATAATAAGCATTAAACTGTTTAATCAATTGAATTATAAATGTGTACGTTTGGTTTAAATAACATTGAAAGTTGTAATACAGTAATTATTGTATTTTTATAAAACGTTTGATAAAAAATGCTACCGGTAACACTTTTCAGTCTTTATTTTAATATCATGTTTCGGTATAAACTTTGGCTCACTTTTAATCACAACATTTGGTTCCCTTTTGACCGAAACTCCAGTACTTCCCGAAGTGGATGCGTTTGAATTGTTCTATAAAAGACACAATAATTAGTGATCCATTGAAATAAAGCATTCATACAAATGCATACTCTATTGAAATTATTGCCCCGATTTGTCGTATAATTGCTACGATTTTGGGTATAATTAGTGCCACGATTTGCCGCATAATTAGGCCTTTTCTTGTAGTTACGCTTCTTTTTGTTATACTTTTTGGGTTTCTTTCGGGACGTGTTGCCAGCGCTTTGCTTGCGTTTGGCAGACGTGTTGTTGACCTCCAGTTTGGGCTTTACTTCACGAAACGTGGCGTCAAAACGTTTTTCAATTGACACCAACTTCTCAGTAAAGTATTCATTGGCAGCAAAAATTTGCTTCAAATCCGGGAATTGTGTTTGAATTGAATTTAAATACTTATAGACGTATCGCACGACACGATTGGGAGAAGTCAATGAAATTTTGTAATTTGTGAGGTTCTGGGCATTCAAAGAGAAAAACATATCAAATATAAATCAAAGCAATTGTCAATTAATTAATTACATTGAAGTAGAATGTAAGCCAAGTGTCGAGGAAGCCATTGGGTGCCCACCACCTGACCTCCGAGTGCTTACTTGCCGCCCAATTGATGCCATTCTTCAACATNGCCAAGTGTCGAGGAAGCCATTGGGTGCCCACCACCTGACCTCCGAGTGCTTACTTGCCGCCCAATTGATGCCATTCTTCAACATCTCTCTAGTGATCACGTCCTGGAAGTGTGGCTCATGTGAGCCAACTCTTTGGTGGACTATCACTCGAACCAATAGAACAAACTCCTTAATGGCAGAGATATTCCTCTCGAGTTTCTTCTGAAAATTATTCCTCAGATCCGACTCAGTCTTCTGATCGTCAGCCGTCACCTGAAGTGCCAGAAATTGCGGATCTTCTGGTTGACAGCAGATCAGGAAACGGGTCCGCGAATTCAAGATATCCCTCATTATAGGGTTAATGGCGTTGAATAGTATTTCATTAAATTTGGCAAAGAATGGGAACTCTGTCTCCGCGGTCGACGATATAGTCTTGAGGACCTGTTCTCACATAAAGGTTGACAAGAATTACAAAAAAAATTGATAACCATTTCGATAAACGTATCATTACTTTGAGGTATTGATCGGTGAGACTCATGTAAAAGCATCGCCAACTCTTAGGCTGACAGTCATGATAGCCCTTGGCTTTCATGCGGTGATGTATGGCATGAGTCCACTCGTGATCTGCTATTAGGTCGCAGTTATTATCGGAAAAATCTTTGATTACATCCAAGAAAGTGCTGAACATATCTATGTCTTCAGACGTCTTAATGAAAAGATTTTCGTAGCGATACTCCTGAGGAATGTCAGACAACATCTGCTCCTTTAATATCTTCTTTTTCTTGGCCTTAATCTTCACGTCTAATGGCTTTGTGTCCAACTCTTCATCACTCGAGACAATGACAATAGTCTGCACTTTGCCTTCGGAATCGTTATCAGTCTTCGCGACTTGAATGCCATCCGATGCGACAGTAGTTGTGAGCGGTTTGGCATCAATAACATCAACAATCGATATCTCGTCATCAATGGACTCATTATCTTCAGTATTAGCCATCGTTTGAGAGATATTTGTTTGCGATTTGCGGGACATAAGTATCAATGAGTTTGATTTGATGAGCGAGTCTTTGTTGATGAAAGTGGTGCACACGCTGTCCGATACCTAATCGTAGACAATAGACGTGAGATAATAGCATTAAATAACGGATCAAATGAGTGGTGATGATCACCTCAAAGAGATGTGTATCGAAAGTGATGAGCTCTTTGCCGATGAGGTTAACGATGTGTTGGATTTGCGTCAAAATGCGCTCAAATGGGAGGTGTGTTGAGTGGGCGTCAGTCACGTGAATGCCATACACGCGGCTCTGGTATC